CATTTGCGCCAACGAAACAATTGCAGAACAGATAAGCAACTTAAGGGAAGCTCTAAAATTCAGTCTTAATTGTCAAAAAAATGTTTCACAGAAGTTGCTTAACTTTGTTTTCGCAACTTGGTCATATTGTCAGGGCTACCTAGGGGAACATACCTTGTCCTGAGCCCATAGTATCCATGCTAAATTCCAAATTTAAACGTAGACTTAGTACATTACAAGACGTTTCGACCACATTGTATTAGGAATCCTCAGTGCGCCTTTCCATTCTTAGTAACATGCTACAACTCGTCAGAGGCAAGTAAATTCGATCCTGCTGAACAAATATTGTCTATCCTGTCCTAGCGCATTTACTCATCCTATATCCTTGTATCCCCTTTTTACTTTAAAAATTACTTGCGAATTCAAACCTATGTCAAGTGTGCCCTTCTGAGAAAATTTGGTGATAACTATTCAAGCTCACGCCGGTTTCCGCATCTTCCCCACTGTACTAAGTGTTGCGCAAAGTCTACCCTTTTAATCCGTAGTCCTCTTCCTCCAGGTCGTATAAGAGTTTATCTCTACTTCCGTCGTTTATCCCCCTAGTTCAATGCTTTCAATCAGTAACTGCCAGCATGTCCCTGCTATTCGAGGGCTATATTATACATCCAGCCTCAACCCTTGGATAGCATGTACTTTCCTACCTCACTAAGCAGGCACTCAGATCTGGATTCTCAAGCTGGATTCAAAACTAACTTGACACGGTATATTCCCTTATCGGCAGATACACCGGATAAATTTCGTGATCAAGCCTTTACTTCACAGACAACGTCTATGATCAAATCCTTCTACTATTAGCCAGCTATCTCTGGTCTTCAATGCGTCTCTCATGCTTCTATCCATGATGTCAGGTCTATGACTTTCCTATGCCCTCGATTCCGGTGTGACAACTAAAAAATGTAATGAAGTTGTTTGACCTTGTTTTCGCAACTTGGTCATATTGGTAGGAAGACTTAAAGGAACGCACCTTGTCATGAGTCCATTGTATGCATAATTATTTCCAAAGTCTGACCGTAGACGTGGTACATTCCCAGACGTTTCGCCGGCATCGTAGCCGGCATCGTCAGTGAGTTTTGTCATTCTTATCACCACACTATAACTCGTAAAAGAGAAGGGTGAAGTCGATACTTTGACCAATTGTCTGCTAAACAATTGTGGTATCTAGCCTTCGGTCCTATGTCCGCGTATCGCGCCTTCATTGTCACCATTTTTTCCGTCAGCCAACTAGCTCCAGTCTCCGCCACGTTTAGCATGTTTCTATTCGCAATGCCAAGTTTATAACTTGATATGCCCTAGTGTCTTATGTGCCAACCCACAAATGTTGTGGTACTACTTGCTTTGATTAGGTTCTAGTCAGACTTGGTATTACGGATAGAAACAGGATAGACGCGGCAGAGACTGGAGCTAGTTTGTTGACAGTAGGCCCGTTTTACCATAGACGCGGTCCATGTAGCAAAGGCTTGACCATGAGACTCATTCAGAGGCTTTAGTCACGAATTAGTCACCCAGAGGCAGGGAAGGGGTAATAACGCCTCAAGTAGTACAGATGGGGTGTAAGAGGTCGTGTGAAATAATTGAACCAGGGAGATAGCAGACGGATCCTACGGGGCAAGAGAGAGACTCTGATAAGACTTATGGAAGAAGGACGACGTAACAATATGGCAGACTTGGATCAACATTCCCAGCACAAGGATGAAGGGGGGGTGAGAACGCCAGTGTGAAATGTTAAGGGTTCTCATTAAAGCCGCTCAAAGTAGCACACCACACTAGATTTAAATAAGCAAGGAAAAATTGTGATAGTGAAGGCGTAATACGAGGATATAGGAAAGGGGAATAGCCCAGGACAGGAGAGATACCACAACTGTTTAGCACACATTTGGTCAAAGGATCGGCTTCACTTGTCTGTTTGACAAGTTGTAGTGTGGTTCTAAGAATGGCAAGACTCACTGAGAATGTACCAGGTCCACGGTCCGACTCTGGAAATTATCATGTATACGATGGACTCAGGACAAGGTGCGTTCCTCTAAGTCTTCCTACCTATATGACCAAGTTGCGAAAACAAGGAAAAATATCTCCTTGATCTAGTTTTCTTATGTTTGCTGTTCTTGTTATTCTCTGATCTCAGAGTTTGCTTAAGCAATGTGAAAATTTTCGCTAGTCAGGACTTCTTTAGATCTCCAACATATTAGACTTCTTTGATTCAGGACATCGATTGTATCCGAAAACGATGCCTTCCTCTAGAAATACGACCAAGTTGCGAATGCAAGGTCAAACAAATTCCATGCAACAAAAGGTAACCGTGAGCATACTAAAGGCCACACCATCTTGGTTTTCATACCGCTGATTCAATTATGCTTTACTTTGAAGTAATGGAAAAGATGATGTGAAAAAGTAAAAACATAATCATATCCTTTAAGCCCAACCAACCAGCCTTCAAGAAACGTATTTAAATAAAAATTGCACATCTTTATATTTTACGGGACAAAGAGAAACTGTCAAGATAGATCTAATTAAATCTAGCTATTTGAATTAAGGCATTTAAACGAAATATACAAAACCGAGCCCAACACCTTTATATCTATGAAATACCATGTGCGAAATCGTATAAGTTCAACCAGTAGCGCAACAAAAAATGAACTATATATCTCGTAGAATCAGGTTATCATGTCATACCTAAAAAGAGGTTCAAACTTGCGCTTATTTAAAGTTTTAAACGAAGGTTGATTTGGCCACATGACACAAATGTGATTGAAGCTTAATGAAATTATCTATGAAGAAACCATGTATATAAATTACCGCACTTCACTTGTTTTGATCCATTTATCCCTTTTCATGCCTCATCTATAATCATCTATTGAGCTGAATATATAAATTTACATTCTTGCTAGCCTTAAAAAACTCATCTTAAATAAGTCCCAAAAGATTTTACGCTTAATCCTAATTTTTTTATTCATTCTATGACTAAGAACAACATTCCTAAGAGATTAAATAAATCGAGTCCAACCAGTGTAGAATATAAATATAATTATAGAATTCAGAATCTGAGACGCTTGACTCCTATGAAAAACAAACCAAACCGTGGGATTAAAACGAAATATTTGGAAAGATAAAACCAAATGTAAGTCCGTACTAAATTAAGTTTTTACACCAGGGTTTAACCTAGATTTTAATACGCAGTATTATCGTTATATCGGCTTCGAAGGACGTGGCCCATCCAACGTCTCTGACATTTTTGTCATGTTTTCTTCCTGCAAATTAAGAAAGCAATAACTAGGTAATTCGAAAGCTTATTTATTCGATTTTTGGCAAGAAAATCACAAATACAATTCAGTTTGGATAGATATAATGTATTACTGTCCACAATAACCACCCAGTAAGGCAAATATTTCAACCATCTGATGGCACATGGCTCGTCAGTCGATAGCCATATTCTAAGCTACTATGTAGAACCAATCGACTAAAGACTTTGTAAAGGCTACTAATTCGCATCTCTATGAAAAAGGTGTATCAAAAGATGACATAACGATTCATATCTTACTTTTATATGACCAGATTCCTAAAATTTCACTTTAATATACAAAGTTATTTAACCTTTTAAATAATTACCTCGTTATTTGTATATTAGTTTAGTTGCTTGATTAGATCTTCCACACAAAAATGACTTCAGGATATTTTATCCGGCATTAATGGCTTATTAGTTTTAATAAATTCTTAGATATTGGGGATGCTACAGTTATGTATAAATTTTTCGAACTATATCCAATTCTCTAAAAATAAGAGCGTTATAAATAAACTTATTAGAAGCCTCGAAATGCATTATTGTGTTAGTTTATTATGCATGTGAGAGTTGGGAGCGATTAATTATAGTTATGAGGCATTATTAGGTAAGGAACTCACCAGGACAACATGAGAGAAAGCAAACGGGGAGGAAGATGGGCCATTCAACTCAAAACTCGAAGTGGCATCGCTACAGATCTTCAGAGAAGTTTCTCGAGACAGGTATTCACGTATCTGCACAAGGGCTGAATCTGGATCGTGAGCAGCTAACTCCAAGGGGCCATAGACAACTGGTCCAAGGCGGCGAAGGTCGGTGGCCAGGAGGCGATTGCAAAGACGCCGGCCAGGGTGCACCTCCTGGAAGCCGGAATTGATAAACGAAACACCGGAAGTGGTAGCTAAAAAGATGATGAAATAGAACAAGGAATTATAACTGAGGTGCCGAAGAAATTATGCAAGTTAGGTTAACTGCTAAGCAGTTTATTGTTTGGCTGGCCTTCTTCGATCCAGATCCATTATATTATCACCTTTGCTTTCGGATAAATCGATATCTGTGTGAACTGAAGCGTCCGGAGTCTCAATAGTGTTGTCAGATGCTTCTGTATTGCGGCTGGTAGTAAGCAAGGGGTAGTGACTGCGGCCGAGAAGTTTGTGAAGATCATGGTGGGTGTGATTCTCTGGCAAGACATGGCCAGGTGCAGGAGGCGAAGGAAGAGGCCGTCTCAGATGCAGCAGAAGGATGAAGCAGCCAAATAACTGACCGGCGATCAAGGGTTCGCCTATGAAGTCTTCAGAAGAGAGCAGAGCTAGGCGCCCAGATTCTGTAAGAAGTGGAAGGCGGGGAGGGTTCTAGGGGTATGTGAATTGAATGATAAAAGTGAAGAGGTCAAGAGCAACTTAATTAAATCAAATTAGGCCTAGATTAGATTTGTGTACAAGAATGGGATGTGT